GTGTGTGTGTGTGTGTGTGTGTGTGTGTGTGTGTGTGTGTGTGTGTGTGTGTGTGTGTATGTTCTCAGGTCTCTGTCGGCTCTGTCAGCTTATCACAGCGGAGTTCTGACTCCGATGAAGATGCGTTCAGAGTCTCAGAGCACTCTGCGGCTGTACAGCGGCAGCCCGACTCGCTCCGATAAAGACACCGTCTCCATCTCCTCCTTCTACTACAAAGAGCGGGTAAGACACACACACACACACAAACACACACACACACTGTCACACAGGTTCAGGTCCACCTGGCGTGTGCTCCAGGTGAAATCTGAGGTCGTTCTTTTGGTTACATTAGTTTTGTGTTTTAGGACCTTTTATGTTTTTAAACATTAAATGTTCTAATTGTTTCGACATATTAAGTWAAAAAACTCAGTGTTTTTCTGATGGTGATTGTGTTGATAAAACTGTTTACAACAAGATGCAAAAGTTTTCACTATTAATTTTGAAAATTAGTTTCTCTACATCTTTCACAAAAAAACCTCCAAATAATGAAGTGAAGTGATGAAAAAACATGATTTAAAGATTTTAAAAAAATAAACTGAAAACTAATGTGTTCATACATCATGAAAACCAAGGAACTGAAGAGACCTGATGGACCAGGATCATGGAGATGGACCTGAAGAGACCTGGTGGACCAGGATCATGGAGATGGACCTGAAGAGACCTGATGGACCAGGAACAGTGAGACGGACCTGAAGTGACCTGGTGGACCAGGAACAGTGAGACGGACCTGAAGTGACCTGGTGGACCAGGATCATGGAGATGGACCTGAAGAGACCTGGTGGACCAGGAACAGTGAGACGGACCTGAAGTGACCTGGTGGACCAGGATCATGGAGATGGACCTGAAGAGACTTGATGGACCAGGATCATGGAGATGGACCTGAAGAGACTTGATGGACCAGAATCAGTGAGATGGACCTGAAGAGACCTGATGGACCAGGATCATTAAGGTGGACCTGAAGAGACCTGGTGGACCAGGATCATGGAGATGGACCTGAAGAGACCTGATGGACCAGAATCATGGAGATGGACCTGAAGAGACCTGGCGGACCAGAATCAGTGAGATGGACTTGAAGGGACCTGGTGGACCAGAATCAGTGAGATGGACCTGGAGGGACCTGGTGGACCAGAATCAGTGAGATGGACCTGGAGGGACCTGGTGGACCAGAATCAGTGAGATGGACCTGGAGGGACCTGGTGGACCAGAATCAGTGAGATGGACCTGAAGGGACCTGGTGGACCAGGATCATGGAGACCGGTCTGAAGAGACCTGATGCTGGATCTGAGTTTAGGGGGTAAATACAGATGTACCATTATCCAGGTTTGTGTTTAATAAAATGATTTAAACATGTTTTCTTATTTCTTCATTATTCGATGTTTTTGTTTAGAAAAGCTGTTTTTATTCAAATTAAAAATGTAAATAAACTCCAGACTGTAAAAAGGAACAGAAAGAGGCTGAAGACTTTTGCATCTTGTTGTCCATGTCTCCTGACCAGGATGACCTGAATGATTCTGAAAGGTTTGGTATTTGTTGCGGTCGGGACTCTTCTGGATCAGGGTTGAGTTTTTAATGGAAGTTCAGCCAGGTGAACCTGTAAGAACAGGTCCAAGTCCCGCCTCAGTCAGGATGTTTCTGTGATGAACGATGTCATGATGGAGCTGTTCTGTGCTCCACCTCTCATCCTGATTGGCTGCTGTTTCTTTTTCTCCCTTTTTTTTACTTTAACCAATCACCTGCCCACCACTCTGCCTTGGGCCACGCCTCCTCCCCCATCCTCTACCAATCAGAAGCTTCCAATGTCCGCCTCCCGCCGCTGGTCTGTCCAAACCCTCCATGATTGGCCGGTATACTGAGCTATATCCCTCCCTTTGACCTCTGCCCTTCATCTGTCCTCCTCTTCATCACAGGGTCTTTTTAAAACACTGACAGTTTGTTTTGCATGTCACTGATTGGCTGCTGCTCCTCCACTAACAAACTGACCTGAGTTTATGTGTTCTGAATTAAACACTCGTTTGTTTCCATCTGACTCTGAGAAGAGGGGCAATCCAGAAAGCAGGTTGTGATCATCTCTGAATAAGTTAATCCTGAGTTTAGTGAAAGACTGAGTAACTTAATCCTGAGTTCAGCAAAACTGAGTAAGTTAACCCTACGTTTAGTGAAACTAAGTTAATCCTGAGTTTAGTGAAAGTCTGAGTAAGTTAATCCTGAGTTTAGTGAAAGTCTGAGTAAGTTAACTGAGTTTAGTGAAACTGAGTAAGTTAAACCTGAGTTTAGTGAAACTAAGTAAATTAATCCTGAGTTAGTGAGAGTCTGAGTTAGTTTAGTAAGTCTGAGTTAGTTTAGTAAAAGTGTGAGTAAATTGATCCTGTGTTTAGTGAATTTGTTAGTTAAACCTGCGTTTAGTGAAACTGTGAGTTAATCCTGCGTTTAGTGAAACTCTGTAAATTAATCCTGAGTTTAGTGAAACTGAATAAGTTGATCCTAATTTTAGTGAAACTAAGTTTAACCTGAATTTAGTGAAGCTCAGTAAGTTAATCTTGAGTTTAGTGAAAGTCTTAGGTCAACTGAGTTTAGTGAAACTGAGTAAAGTAATCCTAAATTTACTGAACCAAAGTTAATCCTGAGTTTAGTGAAAGTCTGAGTAAATTAATCCTGAGTTTAGTGAAAGTCTTAGGTCAACTGAGTTTAGTGAAACTGAGTAAAGTAATCCTAAATTTACTGTACCAAAGTTAATCCTGAGTTTAGTGAAAGTCTGAGTATATTAATCCTGAGTTTAGTGAAAGTCTGAGTATATTAATCCTGAGTTTAGTGAAAGTCTGAGTATATTAATCCTGAGTTTAGTGAAAGTCT